GAGGCAAACACCATGTCCGGTGAGGCATCCCTGCGAGATGAGACGACATGCTGTGATGTTAGATTACATTACAGGTCTAGAGATATAATGGTGATGTTAGATTACATTACAGGTCCAGAGATATAATGGTGATGTTAGATTACATTACAGGTCTAGAGATATAATGGTGATGTTAGATTACATTACAGGTCTAGATGTAATTGTGATGTTAGATACATTGCAGATCTTAAGATGTAATTGTGATGTTAGATGTAAGATGTGATGTTAGATGTTCCTGGGTTATCATGTCCTGTGAGGTTAGAGGACAACCTGTGATGTCATGTCCTGTGAGTTTAGATTACATTGCATGTCTTGTGATGTAATTCCTGTGACGTTTTATTTCATCCTGTGATATCATGTCCTGTGATGTAATCCCTGGGACGTTGCGACACATCCTACGATATCAGGTCTTCTGATGAGATTCCTGTGTCGTTATAACATCCTGCGATGTCGGGTCCTGTGAAGTAATCCCTGGTGGTGGTCGGTGAGGACCCTTGCCACTCTACATCTGGCTTTACACCAAACTGGTCACCATAGCACCCCATTCTGTGTCCTTTACTGTATTTGTCCTAGACTGGGGTGCAGTTTGTGTACTTTATAGACTGTACTACACTGGGAGTTGGCAACCAGACTATACCTATTCCCTATCTAGCACCTTTAGCACATTTTTTACTATACAAGAAGGTTTGGTATATTGAGTTTGGTTAACCCCTAGTTACCCTCAGGATTCAATATCTCCATATAAGGGGGGCTCTACCCACGCAGATTGGTCTCCTGTCGATCAGAACACAACACTTGTGATTGGCCTGCTCTGTCTGTGCCCCACTTGCTGGCCTGCTCTGTCTATGCCCCATTGACTGGCCTGCTATGTCTGTGCCCATTTGATTGGCCTGCTCTGTCTGTGCCCTATCGATAGACTGACGTTAGTCGGGCCTGAACCCCCTTTTGGCTGCAGGCCTGGGGGAATATTGCTGAGGAAAGCCTAGTGCCCACTATTAACATGGAGATAGGTGGGTGTCCAGTTAGCGCTGCTGCCAGACTATCCGAGGTGACACCGGTATAGTGCACCTAAGTATGATTGGAAGAGTGAAGCCCATTGACCCTTATACCCTGAGGGGCAAGGTTTCTGTGAAGATTCCTGGGCGGGCAGCCAGGGTTTGCACCAGCCCGGCAGCGGCACATCTCCAGGGCGAGTTTCGTTCTGATGCACATACAGGGTCCAGTGCTCAGACGCCAACAGGGGAGCACGGTATCCCTGGACTCTTAGCAACTTATCCTTTAACTGCATATCTGGTATCCATTTAGGTCTAGGTAGTTCTTTCTACGTCAAGCTTAGTTCTGGACTATTTCAGTTGGGTTTACCTGTTCTTTGCTTTCGTGTCCGCTATTTTACCTTCCCTCGCGAGGTACTTTCCTTTATCGGAACCTTTGATTTGTCGTTTTTGTTTCGTGTCTTCCACTTTTCCTTTCGCTCGGGTCGTCGAGAGGCCTGACTTGTCCTCCTCCGACTTCCCGGGCTCTCGTGGATCGCGAAGAATGTCTCCAGCGTTTCCTCAGACTACCGGCGGCCATCCTGAACCCCGCGCACGTGCACGGGATCCAGGCGGCCGTCTGTAGATTCCGTATTTTCTAGCCATTGCAGTTTCGCGGCCTGTCCCCAGTATTAGACTCGCAGACACGGCTCTAGGCTGGAGTGTTACTCCGACCATTATCAGTATTATTTATTCCCAGTTTGAGTACATCTCTCAGGTGATGGATACTGAGAGTGATGTCTGGGTCAGAGGGGAATCCCTCTCAGGACTTCTACCCAACTCGACTAGCTTTAGGGCGAGCTCCTCGTTTTCAATCAGTACGAGACTGATATGGACTCTGGTTTGTGTGGTAAGAGGGTGCGGCCCTTTCATAACCTCAGCTCGAAACCAAAGTTAATTTACAGGATTAGAGGGGACCACTCCCCATATACAGACCCTTACACTGAACCTTCCATTAGAGGGCGTGACCCTCCCCTAACCTTGACTCGAGGCTGATATTGATGCATATTGCAGGTTGAAGTATATCCCACTCTCCTATTCGGTGCCAGACACTGACAGAGGGTACGGCCCTCTCACAAAGGCTGGGATACAGTTTACGTTATTTGAGAGTGCGGCTCTCTCATACTCAGCCCGATACTGAGCTCCCTTAAGGTGCACAGACCAAGATAACCACTTATACTGTTCCTCAGTTTACCGCTGGTATGACAGTTTCTTACGGTACTGGGTTCTGCTTCCCCTCTTTGTCCCGTCACTTGACTCTACCCAACAGGGTTATTTATCCTACTGTCAACCCTTGTTCGTCCTACGGACTTATGCCAGTTCAGGAAACCGGGGTCATCGTAGAGGGGCGGCCCGCCTACAGACAACTCAATGCAGAGGTCGTTGCTACATACGTGGTTTATCACTGATGTTATGGCGCTTACTATAAGGACTAAGGCTACCTCATTGGAATGACGAGGAGACGCTGCAACGACTGTGTAAGAGGAGAGAACCCCTCCATTAGATCAAAGGACCGTGCTACTATTTTTGTTATAGCGGCACTGCCTGATCTAGCTGTAACCGTTACATCCCCTATGATTGGTCTGCTGGACCCACATCACTATATCCCCACTAGGGATATACTCAGGAGATTCCCCACCTCATTTAGATGCCCCTCTGATGCCTTATTGGACAAGGTAGGGGCTGTTGATTGGTACACCTTGTGGGTACCCCATACCTTTCTGTTGGATCTACTCCTGGAGGTTGTACGACTGGTGATAACCCACAGCTATTACAGGTGGGTAAGTTTTTATATAACCAGCTTTGTATCAAACAAAAACCTGGTTCGGTTTTTTTCACACACCGTTTGGACACACTGACCAGACAGTTTTCCCCTACCAAGGGTAGCATGGGATTTTGAGGCCTGCATAGAGAATGCGTGCACTACCTTTACTCGGACGGCGGGAATGGGGGAAGTCCCACACCCCGTTCTGCAGATACTACGTACGCATTGATCAAAAGACCGGAGTCCCCGGTCAAGTTTGGATTCCCTGGCGGTTGACGATCCTGGGATAGGTGACAGGACTGCACCCTACTCCACTGAGAACGTATTTGGAGAACATTATTCGGATAGAGGATCCTCTTACTATGCGCTAGTTCCCTCACGGGAGCCGTTCTGGTTTTGATTATCGCTCATCCACCTATTCAGATACTTGGAGTACTGGAAGCACTTCAGAGACGACTGGTTTGGCCTGCACTCTTACCAACATAGCTATCTCATCCCGGATGAGACCACTCAACTGGTAGATGATGAGGGAACGAAAAGACACTATTCGGGTTTGTGACGGAATTGGTCTCAGGCACCTTACTGGAGATTGGAGTTTGCTGGCAAGACCACATTTCCAGATGACCCTGGCACGATCGGAGGAGCCATATCCCGCATCGAGGATCGAGACTTGGTGGTAGCTTTTTGACCTGGTTCCAGGTCCGCAAATGATCTTCGGAATTTGCATCCACAGGAATGTGATTAATGGATCGACTTTGCAGGTCATGGTTCGTCGTCCGGGAAGTGGGTCTCATCCCCACGTACAGTCTACCAGCGGATTGAGTGTTTTTTCGGAATTAGTGGTACAGCGTCAGCTGGCATCTGCATCAACCCAACCGCTGTCACTTCTCACAATTGGAAGGCTCATTTGGTTTTTGCTCTGTTTTTCTCCCGGAACAAACAACGTTGGATTTGTTGACTGAGCATTAAAACAGCCAATATGAAGCCTCCTGTCATGTTATACAATTGTAGATTATGCTAGCTTTAGTGTACCTGTAATCTTAATTTTATTAATGACAGGAGGCGAATATTTCCTTCCCATTCTTATCCCTCCCTTGTTTAACTTTAAGGGTTTGCATTCATCAGGTAGGTATGCAACTCTGCTTGTTGTCTCTGCTACCTGCCACTAGTTTTTATTTCCATTTTTCCCAAGTAAGGGTTGGAATCTATGCATATTTTGGTATTTCTGGTTATTTTGCTGGGTGCCTACATGTTTTGTTCAGAGTACATTTCGTTAGCTAACCAACCTGTTCGATTCTGTTTTCTATTGTTTCAGCTTACAGTCAATCAACGCTATCTGGTTTGACAGTTCTTCTCGGATGGTGGATGTTGTTGTATTCATTGTATCATAGACTTTGTTTTTCTCCATTATATGTTCTGCCTTTTGTTCTGTTTTTGTTGCAGCTTGAAAGAGGAAATGATGAATGGGGAGGGGAGTTTTATAGTACCTAACTTTTTTCTGATTGGTTGTTTTTCTGTGCTGCTGTGGAGTTCTAGTAAAGAGAGACTTAAGCAAATATTCCCCTCCTGTCATTAATAAGATTAAGATTATAGGTACACTAAAGCTAGCATAATCTACAATTTTTCCAAATTGGTTTGCTGGGGCTATGTTGTCTTTGAGACCGTGTGGTAGCCCAGAAATGAAAATTACCCCCATCATGGCATACTGTTTGCAAAAGTAGTCAACCCAGGGTATTCAAAATGGGGTATATCCAGTCTTTTGTAGTAGCCATTTTGTCACAAACCCTGGCCAAAGTAAGTGTTCATATTTTTTTGGCATTTTCACACAAAAATTGCATGTATATTGATGATATGATCATCATTATGTCTTACTGTTTTAAAACACTCATATTTGTGTTCAGCAATGTCTTCTGAGTACAACAGTATCTTCCATTCACAGATTGTTTAGTGTTTTGGAAAGTTACTGGGTTAAATATAGGGCTTGTAAATTAAGTTGTCTAGACATTCTGTCTGGGTTGTCAGGCAGATCCATTAAAATTTTACTTAATAAAATCACATACATGTAGAATAAAAAATATATATATATCTTTTATTAATATATAAATATATATACATATATATATATCCGACTAACAATGGATTAATCACTGCTTTATATAATCGATAATAGACTCAGGACCAGCATATATATATTCTTGCTGTCAGGGGTTCTTACCTGAGGTGGGAGTCTGTAGCGCAGATATGTTGCTCACCCTTGCAGATAGACACAGTCCAAGGTGACCAGATAAGAAGCCACCTGGACTATAAATCTGTGCACAGGGGCTGTGCAGGAAAGGTGATTCCAATGCAGTACCGACAAGGACACAAACAGCAGGATAGTCAATGGGTAGCCAAAGTCAAATGATGCCAGAGGTCAGGATTAACGAAGTGTAGCCGAAGTCAAGGGATGCCAGAGATCAGGATAAATGAAGACAGAAGCCAGGGTCAATTTGGAGTAAAAGTTCAAGAGACTGGAACACAGGAACTGAACACACACAACAGGATCAAAGACTTGATAATTTTCCCAGGGCGAGGCAGTGCTTATATACCCATGTGATGACTGATCAATCTCAGGTCAAGCACAGCAATAGACTAAGTCCAGCCCCCAGTGTTGCAGACACGCCAGGATGAACAGGACTAGAATAAGTTCAAGGACTTGGAACTGCTGTGGCTCAAAGGTAGATAGCAGGCCCAGGACAGCAAAGTACCCAGTTTCAAATCCCCTGTTGGGTAGTTATGGGGTGACCACATCTGGCTGTCTGGACTTGCTTCATATACAGGAATGGTTTGTTCCAGTAGCCCACTTGTCTTCAGACTGAGAGAAGAGCTAGAAGTGATGTGGAAAGTGAATGCAGTAGTAGTCCCAGTTGTGATAGTATCACTTGGGGCTGTGACTCCCAAGTTGAGGGAGTGGCTTCAAGAGATTACAGGTGGGACATCTGAGATTGCTGTCCAGAAGAGTGCCATTCTAGGAACAGCTAAGATACTGCACAGAACGCTAAGACTCCGAGGTCTCTTGTAGAGGACCTGAGAATGAGGAATAAATATACCAATATAGTTGTGCTTCCAAGTTTGCATACCCTGGCAGAATTGTGAAATTTTGGCATTGATTTTGAAAATATGACTGATCATTCAAAAAAAAAAAAAAAAAGTATTTTATTGAAGGATAGTAATCATATAAAGTTATTTATGATCACATAGTTGTTTGTGATCATAAATAAATTATAACAGATAACAGAAATCATCCAAATAGACCTTATCAAAAGTTTACATACTCTTAAATCTTTGGCTTTTTTTACAGACACACAAGGTGACACACACAGTTTAAAATGGCAATTAAAGGTGGATTTCCCACATCTGTGGCTTTTTAAATTGCAATTACTGTCTGTTCGTAAATGGTCAATGAGTTTGTTAGCTCTCATGTGGATGCACTGAGCAGGCTAGATACTGAGCCATGAGGAGCAGAGAAGAACTGTCAAAAGACCTGCGTAACAAGGTAATTGAACTTTTTATAAAGATGGAAAAGGATATAAAAATATAACCAAAGCCTTAATAAATGCCAGTCAGCACTGTTCAATCACTTATTAAGAAGTGTAAAATTTGGGGATCTCTTGATACCAAGCCAAGGTCAGGTAGACCAAGAAAGGTTTCAGCCACAACAGCCAGAAGAATTGTTTGGGATACAAAGAAAAACCCACAGGTAACCTCAACAGAGAAATACAGGCTGCTCTGGAATAAGACAGAGTGGTTGTTTCAAGGAGCACAATACAACACTACTAGAACAAAAATGAGCTTCATTGTCAAGGCGCCAATGCCACAAAAAGCCTGGTTACAATATGCCTGACACTGTGGCATGCCTCGCAACTTCTGTCACACTGTAATTTGGAGTGACGAGATAAAACTATGTTGGGAGAGGGTTAAACAAAAAGAATACCATCCCCACGGTGAAGCATGGTGGTGGCTCACTGATGTTTTGGGGAGGGGGGTGAGCACGGGGAATCTTGCGAAAATTGATGGCAAGATGAATGAAGCATGTTATCAGAAAATACTGGCAGACAATTTGCATTCTTTTTCACGAAGGCTGCACATGGGATGCTCTTGGACTTTCCAGCATGACAATGACCCTAAGCACAAGGCCAAGTTTACCCTCCAGTAATTAAAGCAGAAAAAGGTGAAGATTCTGGAGTGGCCATCACAGTCTCCTCGCTTTAATATCATTAAGCCACTTTGGGGAGATCTTAAACGTGCGGTTCATGCAAGACGACCAAAGACTTTTCATGACATTCGCTGCCGAAACGAATGGGCAGCTATACCAACTATAAGAATTAGGGACCTCATAGACAACTATTACAAAAGACGCTAAAGGTGGCAATACACAGTATTAAGGCCTAGGGGTATGTAGACATTTGAACAGGGGTCATTTTATCTTTTTTCTTTCTTGCTGTCAGGAAACTGACAGGGATCCAATACGCAGAGTGCGCACAGAAGGAGGTACGTATACCGGACCTTAGAATGGCCGGGCTAACGTAAGGACAAAGCAAGAATAGTCAAAAGGTAAGCCGAGGTCAAGGGAGCCGGAGGACAGGTAAGCGAGATACAAGCCGAGTCAAAGGAGAGGAGAGGACAACAGGACAAAAGACAAGCAAGGGTCAAAACCGGAAACACTAGATAAAGAACGCGCTGAGTGACTAGCAAGCTAGAACCACGACAGGGCAATGAGCAGTAGTAAAGGTTTCCTTTAAATACCCTGTACCTAAATAGAGACCACGCCCCCAAAAGGTCCGGAATAGCGGTTCCCGGCACTTTATGCAAATGCCGACGTCATGACGTCGACGCTAGCCGTCGCGTCATAAAAGGGGGAGGAGCTAGCGCGGCCGGCGCGAAAACGGCCGAAATATGCCGAAATGCTAGGGGAAGGGAGTCCCTAAGCAGAGAGGATGTCCTCCCTGGATACATCACCAACAGGTACCCTGACAGTACCCCCCCTTCTAGAAACGCCCACCGGGCGGATGGGACCTGGCTTAGAAGGAAAACGAACGTGGAAGGCCCGTAGAAGACGAGGAGCATGCACGTCTATACCAGGAACCCAAGACCTCTCTTCTGGACCATAACCTTTCCAGTCTATGAGGTATTGCAGCTTCCCCCTAGAAATACGAGAATCAAGGATGGACTTGATGATATATTCCTCCTGACCATCCACACGGACCGAGGATGGAGGAGTAGAGCGGGAGGAAAATCTGTTACAAACAAGAGGTTTCAATAACGACACATGAAAAGAGTTAGGGATGCGTAGAGTAGGAGGTAGATCCAGCAAATAAGAAACCGGGTTGATCCTCCTCAGTACCCTGTAAGGACCAATGTAACGAGGAGCAAACTTCAAGGAAGGAACTTTCAGGCAAATGTGTCTGGTACACAACCAGACCCTATCCCCCGGAGAAAAAATAGGAGCAGGACGTCTACGCCTATCAGCATGTGACTTAAACACCGCGGAACTACGTTCAAGAATTTGTCGAGTCTGATCCCACAACTTTCTCAGGTTGGCTATATGAATATCAACCGACGGTATACCCTGGGAAGGAGACACCGACGGAAGAACAGTAGGGTTAAAGCCATAGTTCAAGAAAAAGGGGCTATTATGAGTGGAACCACAAACAAGGTTGTTGTGAGCAAACTCCGCCCAAGGAATCAGACCGACCCAGTCATCCTGGTGTTCAGAAACAAAACAACGTAGATATTGCTCAATTTTTTGGTTAGTGCGTTCGGCTGCTCCGTTAGATTGAGGATGATAGGCCGAAGAAAAATTCAGTTTGATGCCCAACTGTGAACAGAAGGATCTCCAAAAACGGGAAATAAATTGGGAACCCCTGTCTGACACAATCTCATTGGGAATACCATGTAAACGGAAAATTTCTCTAGCAAATATCACGGCCAGTTCGGGGGAGGACGGAAGTTTAGGCAAGGGAACGAAATGAGCCATTTTAGTAAACCTGTCAAGGACCGTGAGTATAACTGTATGCCTATTGGAAGCTGGTAGATCAACAATAAAATCCATAGCCAAGCAAGCCCAAGGTTTGTTGGGAACGACTAAGGGCTGCAATAAACCACAAGGGAGATCCCGCGGAAGTTTATTCCTGACACAAACATTGCAAGCCTTGACAAAGTCTTCCACATCCCTACGTAAACCGGGCCACCAGAAGTCTTTTGAGATCAGGCAGTAAGTTTTGTGGATGCCGGGGTGACCAGCGATCTTGCTATCGTGGAAACAGCGAATAATGTCCACTTGGAATTTGGGAGACACGAACAAGCGGCCCACAGGAGTACGTTCGGGAGCAAGAGATTGTTCGTTCTGAATATCAGCGAGCAATGGAGAGTGTATTTTGACATTGGTGTTGGCGATAATATTGACTTCAGGAATAATAGGGAACAAAGTATCCTCTGTAGAGGTGGTAGGTTCGTGCTGACGTGACAAAGCGTCTGCCTTAGTGTTCTTAGAACCAGGCCTGTAAGTAAGCACATAATTAAAGTGTGTAAGGAACATAGACCAACGTGCCTGCCTGGCAGATAATCTTTTGGCCTCCCCCATATACGATAAATTTTTGTGGTCAGTCAAGATAGTAACTGGGAGGACGGTGCCCTCTAACAAATGTCTCCATTCCTTTAATGCCATAATGATAGCTAAAAGTTCTCTATCACCAATGTCATATCTCCTTTCAGTGTGTGACAGTTTCTTGGAAAAAAAACCGCAAGGGTGCAGCGGCTTATCTAAACTTTGTCTTTGGGATAACACTGCGCCTATCCCTGTTTCAGACGCATCAACTTCAAGTAAAAAGGGTAGAGAGGTATCAGGATGAACTAATACAGGTGCTGAGGCAAAAGACTGTTTGAGCGTTTCGAAAGCAGATAAAGCCTCAGTAGACCAGGTTTTGGTATCGGCTCCTTGTTTGGTCATATTAGTGATAGGAGCGATAACAGAGGAGTACCCTTTAATAAAACGTCTGTAATAATTAGAAAATCCAAGAAATCTTTGTATGGCTTTGAGTCCCTTAGGTAAAGGCCAATCTAAAATCGATTTTAGTTTGGTCGGGTCCATCATAAACCCGTCTTTGGAAATTACGTAACCTAAGAAAGTTACCTGAGACTGGTCAAAGCTACATTTTTCCAATTTACAATACAATCCATGTTGTAAAAGTTTCTGTAATACCTTTCTGACTTGTCTATGATGTGAATTAATGTCTCTAGAATGGATTAGTATATCATCCAAATATACAATTACACATTCATGTTGGAATTCTCTAAGAACTTCATTGATCAAGTCTTGGAAGACGGCCGGGGCGTTACAAAGCCCAAACGGCATTACGGTATACTCATAATGCCCGTAACGGGTATTAAATGCTGTCATCCATTCATCTCCTTGTTTAATTCGCACTAAGTTATATGCTCCCC